GAAGATCCCAGATAACTCATTGCATTGACAACGAGCTGGGACTTCTGGATTGATCTGTGTCTTCCTCTTCGTAGATGAGGCTCATAGCTCGCTTTCGTCCCTTCATGTTCCACAGCACATAGGAATGTTTGGTGCCGGACACTCTACGCGCTTGGCTAAAAATCACCAATAAACGTATTGTATGAGATATAAAATTATTTACTATGCATGAAAGACGAATATTTACAAAATCATATGTACTTAAAAATTGTTTTTCAATAAAATTTTTCTTTTAATATTATTTTTTTTTTTATATATTTGTATTCATACTTTTCCATAATCAAGCTTTAAATTAAAATTTTATGAACATGATGTTACTTGAAATTAAATAAAATTAAAAATTTGTTTTTTATTTTTTCCACTATAAAAAATTTACATTGCAAGAAACCAATTTATTTTTGAACGATTACAATTCAAGCACTTTTAAAACATTTTGATAATTAAACTAATAACTAATTTTAACAGGTGAAAGGATTAAACAGTATATAAATGATAAGCAGTATATAATGATAAAAGTATTAAACAGTTAAAAAAAACATAAAAGATTATAAATCTAGAAGAAACTAGATTACTACTTGATGTACTTACGTTTGATACCAATCGTAGTTTGTGACGTACGTTTCGTCAAAGCAGAACTTTTCGTATAAATCTATTACAGAATAATTGATAAAAGACGAATCTCTTTTAGACGGATCATCCGTCAGAGATCTTATCCAATTGTTGAAGGAAAGCAACGCCATACTTTGTTTCTTATGAGCATAAATGCTAAGGTTAGCCAAAGGTGGAAGAGTACAGATAGTGATGGCTGTGTTTGAAAGATGAAATTTAGACCGGAGAACTTGCAAGAGTTCCGTCATATCGTATACCATTTCCTCGCAAGTGGCGTTCTGAAGAGGATCGAATATTTAATGAAAATCTAGTTGTGTTGTATTTTACAAATGCAAACAAATAATAAATTTAAATTTATTTAAAGATTTTCTATATCCATGTTGCAATTTTTTTCAGAAATTTAAGTAACATACATTGGCTAATATTTATATTCAATGTATTTCTTGATATACATTTAACTGCGTACAATCTGTATGCAAGGATAGAGCAAAGTCAAATTAACTTACATTATAAACATCAACCGAGCCAAGCAAAATCACAACACGATTAGAAATAGTATTAATATTCCTCAAAGCCCGAGTACAGTCGCTAATGGTCTGTCCGGAGATACACAATCCACAATGTAATGCTAAGCTATCTGCAAAGTAATAATGAAATACAAAATTTACAGCTTTTATCTTAATTTGTAACATTTATTTTCTGTGTGTGTGTGTGTGTGTG